GTTCTGGTCAGAGCACACTCGTTATTCCATCTGAAGGTGTTGGAGACGCCGTTCATCAGGTCCAGGCGACCCGCTCTTTGTAAACAAAGAGGCTGTTTACTTCGGCTTGCGGTGCCGTGTCTCTAGCATCTTTGGTGTTATAACTTTTATTATTATATTTTTTCTCCCTGTCCATTCATTCACGTCATCCGCGATAGATTTTCTTCTCATAATTTGTTTCCCCCCGTTTACAGTTCTGACGAGAGGGGACGAAACCAGTTTACTTTTTTTATATATATATATATATATATATATATATATATATATATATATATATATATATATATATATATATATATATATGATAATATTAGTGGAAAATATACATACGTATGCAAAATATATAAATACACATACATGTATATTCTCAGAAAAAAAATTCCAAGAGGAAGAATCCAGGTAGAACTCAATGTCCAGGACAGATTAAGGATATAATAAAAAGGCTTAAACACTAATATTCCATGGTCACAATTTATTCCATTGAAATCGTAAATACGATCCAATTCATCAGACCTACAAATTCAAAATGAAAACAGAAAAAACCCACTCCGGAAGTGAAAACAGAATTTAGAGAAAGTGTAAATATGAGGAGGGGGGAGATTGAACCTTAACAGAGAGAATTTTAGGAGAGGTGGTGGGGAATGTATCTTTATGCATTAGACATCCGTCGACATTCATTCTCTTCTCTTATCTAAAACCCTCCCACCACATCTCCTAAAATTCTCTCTGTTAAGGTTCAATCTCCCCCCTCATATTTACATTTCTCTAAATTTGTTTTCACTTCCGAGTGTTTTTTTCTTGTTTTCATTTTGTATTTGTAGGTCTGATGAATTGGATCGTATTTACGATTCTAATGGAATAAATTATGACCATGGAATATTAGTGTATATATATATATATATATATATATATATATATATATATATATATATATATATATATGGGACTAAGGTATTTAAGGACATAATTTCGTGGGTTATTGCTTCATTTTATTAAATTTTATATCATTTTTTTTCAGAAAATAATATGGCAAACACTAGCATACTCAAGAAATGAAAAGGCGGGTTGTAGCTGTTGCTTTAAACATTGCAACTTACAGGTAACTCGACTGTTCAAAGTTGCCAGAACATTCGTCTACAAAATTCATAAGGAGTTATAAACGGAAATTGGAAATGTACCATTAGTATCAAAGCATTCCAAAGGCTCTGACATAATGAGAACACCAGAATTTATCGATAAAGTTCACCAGACCGTTATTTACAATCTCAGAAAATTCACGAGGACACTTGCGGAAGATTTTCATGTGTTATGAGGAATAATCGCAAATGTTGTCCACAAAGACATCCGATTGATGACGAAAGGTCAATTCATGTTTAAAAAAAATAAGAAAATCGCTTAATCAGATCTGAAATAATCTTTAACAAACTTAAAAATCCAGTAGAACATGATGTTTTATTTATTTTTTTTTTTTCAGATGAGAAAAACTTTGAACAAGATCAGAAATATAACCGAAAAATCCATCGTAGAACTAGGTGTGGGGCGTTGTTGAAACTGAGGTCAATGAACACCGCATAACACCAAAGATTCTTTGAAAGCGGTCATTGTCAGAGTAATGTCCAATATGACCGATGGCCATTTAGTTCGATCATGTAGAAGATTTCGATCTCACAAAAGCAACATAAAATTAGCAGACAACAGAAAACTCTTTGTATCACAAAACATCTAGAAATGTAACCAGGGTGAATTTAAAATTATGCCAATATACCAAACAGACAATTATTCTTACCTACAAATACAAGAAAAAAAAACTACATAAACAAATTTAAACCAGCATTAAATAGATCATAACCCCTCACACAAAAGCACACAGCATGCACACATAATGGCCAGATACAGGGGTCAAACCACTCGCATCCATGCTCATATGCTCACGTGCGGGTATTTGTGGAGCTCGAATATGTATACACATATTGACAAAAACAATAGACTGCTCACAGGCACGCGCTCAAACCCTACACAACATAGGAAGTGTGTTTGTGTGTATATATATATATATATATATATATATATATATATATATATATATATATATATATATGTGTGTGTGTGTGTGTGTGTGTGTGTGTGTGTGTGTGTGTGTGTGTGTGTATACTAATTCCTAAGTATATATGTATAGAGAGGAGTGCGCATGTACCTGCGCGTACTGGCATATATATGCACATATTGACAAAAACAAAACTGCTTAGGGGCACACACGCGGACCCTACACAACATAGGATGTGTGTGTGTGTGTGTGCGTATGTGTGTATGTATGTGTATACATGTGTATGTATATGTGTACATATGTGTATACTAATTCCTTATAATAAGACAGTATGTATGTATGGAGAGGGAATATACGTATGCGTACGCATGCTGACAAAAAAAAAATAGAAATAGATCTAAGAACACACAGGGGTCATTAAAAGATAAGAATAGAGATATCTTCTTTACCCTTTCTCGGACCAGTCTTTATTGTTTTATTACCCTTGACGCAGAATTCTTTTACTGCCAGTTCAAGAAAGACATTTGGGTCACTAACACACGAAAAAATAGAATGTCTAATATCGAGAATATTTAACATGGAAAAACCTGAGAAAAATGAATTCCTTTTAATAATATTTGTAAATATCCACTCTTTGCCTGATGAAGGTCGCGAGACCGGAAACCCGTTTTGCAAAATTACAGAAATTACGGAAATTAAAGCATAATATATATATTTTTTAAAAATCCACATTACAACCAAAAACGTTTGCTGTTTCTTTCCTCTTTTTTTTATATATATATATATATATATATATATATATATATATATATATATATATATGTATGTATGTATGTATGTGTGTGTGTGTGCGCGCGTGTGCGTCTAGTTACGATGAAAATGAACAGAGTACACTTCCAACGTTCGTAACACAATTGCAGTCTTATTTCAAAATAAAACGATGCGTCTCCTGTTGATCAGGGTAATGCCATCAAGCCCTTTCTTTTTTTAAAAAATGTGGTTGTATTTTGCTTTTGAAACCAACTTATTCGTTCACTCACCAGTAATTTACAATCGTCTGAGGAGACGCATCGTTATGCGTTGAAACACGACTCCGATTGTGTAGCGATTCTTACATGTTTTGTTGTAACAACCAAAAATAATATATATATATATGGGGGTGGTGGCCGAATTGTTAGCGTGTTCGTTTTCAGACCATGAAAACCATCCGGTTCGAACCCACCATAGTTAGATTGTTTGTTAGGAAAATGCCATTTTGATAGTATCTGCTTGATGTCGCGTTCCCCCAGCATGCGACACCTTTGAAAAGTGCCTGTGAATAAAATCAAGTGGAATTGTTCGAAAGCCAAAGATGGACGTGCTAGCAAGTCATCGTGACCGAGGGTTTCAGCGTACTGCCATTATTCAAACTGTTGATCATGTTAGATTATACTTTCTCTCCCAGAAGCTCTATATAGTTGCACACACCACTGGTGGGATCTATGAGTGTTCAATAAACAGGGATGTGCCTGAGAGAACATCTGCAACAGGGATTGGCTAACCGCCCTAGTAGACGGTTATGCTTGGAAATGAATATCCAGTCATTATTATTAATAGTACTAGTAGGAGTAGTAGTATTGTTTTATAATGCGAAGGAATTCCACTATTTTCTTAGTTATACTTACTGGGTCTATTAGGTTGGAAAGAAAATCCTATTTGAATATGGAAAACAAACATGTACTTTATAATCATAATTGATGTAGTTAATCAAGATAATATTTTACTTCATTATCGATAATCAAATATATCTGGTAAATTATTAATCCCTCGGACATGAATCTCTTCAGGTTTCGATGAAAAGAGACACTCAAAACTCATTTTCACAATTAATAAACTGTTTTCCCTCTAAATATGTTTTCACGATCGGAAAAGATGATTGTCAGATGGAGCATGATCAGGAGAGTAAGGAGGACGACGTAACCTTTCAATATTTAGTGCTGCAATTTTTACACAGCGATTCGAGAAATATTGGGTGTTTCATTATCATATAAGAGCAAATTTTTACTGCGACCGTGTATGCCTACACCGTATTGGACTTATCAGACACAAACTTGCCTACAAGCGGCCTGTACAAAAACTCTCTTGATCTTTGTTTTGCTAAGCTAACCATGATGATGACGAAGAGCAATACGTTTTTACAATTAACCTACGAACGGCATATTCTCAGCACAAGTTGTCAAATCCTTACAATTGAAACTGCTTTTCTGTTTAGTTTAACACTTCATAATAGACAGAATTGTTTCGTATTTAATCAAAAACGAAGTATAACGTCATTAAGTAGTAATGCTGTCTTTTTTGTGGATCATCCTTTTTTCAGAGGTTTGTAAACATGTCGTTTTCGTCCATTTTGAATGATTTACCCCGAAATTGTTCAGTAGAAAGTCTGTTCTAAAATGACGTGTTTGTTTAGTCTGAGAAGCAGTCCGTTTGAGCAAGTTTACTTGAATTTCCGAGTCCACGGACATGTTTTATTATCGAAGAAGCACTTGTATTGACATGCCTTGCTAATTCTCATTTAGTTTGTATTGGATTTTCTTCAACGACGGTTTGTAGAAACTCAATATTGACAGAATCTTGATTGTCCAGATTAAGGAGAATCTTCGAAAGAAAACTGTTCCGATCTAAACTAACTAAAACATCGTTGGCAAGCCCGGGCTTTTTATGCTTTATTTCCACTTACAGAACGGACATTTCTGAAGAGATTTTTTTTTTCATTTCCTGAAGCAACTAGTATCTGATATATGTTTAACATAGAATCATATTGAAAGGGCGAAATCGATGCAATTATTACCATTTTGTTATTAATCTGCAAAGTCTAGAATTTTCATTACAGCTTGAGAGTAACGGTAAGTAATCAACTTATAAATGTATGATAACTATGTTCATATTTGAACTGGGGATCTATCTATCTATCTATCTATCTATCTATCTATCTATCTATCTATCTATCTATTATATACCGTACCTATGAACACTAATGGGTATGACCAATCCTCATATGTTGGACAGTTGTAATTAGTGGTTAATATGCTGTCTAGGTAGTCCATCATGAGCAGTGGGTTACCTACTTCACGTCGCTGGCGAGTATCGTATTTTGTTGATGTTATAAAAATTACCATTTCATTTTCAACCCCAGTTTTGGTTATCCGTCATTCAGTAAATCTATCTATCTATCTATCTATCTATCTATCTATCTATCTATCTATCTATCTGTTATATACCGTACCTATGAACACAAATGGATATGTCCCAATCCTCACAAATACGTTGGACGCTAATATGATGTCTACGTAGTTCACCACAAGCAGTGGTTTACCTACTTCACGGCGCTAGCGGAGGGTATTATATTTTGTTGATGTTAAAAAATTACCATTTACATCCACCATTTTGGTTATACCTCATTCAGTAGCCCATTCTAGGTTACAAAATTACATTATCTATCTATCTATCTATCTATCTATCTATCTATCTATCTATCTATCTATCTATATATATATATATATATATATATATATATATATATATATATATATATATATATATATATATATTACATTATCTATTTGTGTATATATATTATATTATTATCTATTTATCTATCTGTTATATACCGTACTTATGAACACTAATGCATATGTCCCAATCCTCATGAATACGTTGGGCACTATTGTAAGAGGAGGTAATATGATGTCTAAGTAGTTCACCACAAGCAGTGGTTAAACTACTTCTCGCCGCTGGCGGGTATTGTATTTTATTGATGTTATAAAGATTATCATTTACAACCTCCGTTTTGATTATTTCTCATTCAATTTTCTAGGTTACAACAATTACAATAACCTATATATATATATATATATATATATATATATATATATATATATATATAACTTTATCTATTATCTATCTATCATCTATCTATCTATCTATCTATCTATTATACCTATGAACACTAATGCATATGTTCCAATCCACATAAATACGTTGGACATTATTGAAAGTGGTGGTAATATGCTGTCTACGTTCCTCTCCTAGCAGTGGGTTACCTATTTCACGCCGCTGGCGAGTATCGTATTTTGTTGATGTTATAAAGATTACCATTTCTTTTCCAACCTCCGTTTTGGTTATTCGTCATTCAGTAATCCTTCCTATGTTACAACAATTACTTATCGCAAGTATTAATCCACCCCAAGAAATTATAAATTTTAAATCAAAGTTTGTATTTTTATTACATTTTTGGCACATTTTTTTTAAATTATAAAGTTTTAAGTCAAAATTTGTTTAGCTTACCTCGCCGCATCTCCAACCATCACAATGAAAATTACCAAAAAATCAGGGTGTTATTCATATGTCGTAAGTACGGATGATATTCGAGCTATTGACATTTTTTTACAAAAACATAAAAAAAATCTGTTTTTAGCCTGTCTATCGAGGTGAGCGTAAAAAATGACCCCACATTAGAAATAGCACACTTGATTTGCCCACATTTGGAACAATCGCAAAGGTTAAACCACCCGTAGTGCAATGGAAGGAGCCTCGCTCTGGTAGAATTTGGGGTGAATTTTAGTAAATGTAGATTTCTTGTACTTCGGGGTAAATTAATATTTTGGAATGAATTAACAAAAAATATCCTTTATTGGTATATATTGGATATCATTTAACAAGCCGGCTAAGCGTGGGTTTCTGATAGCAACCCGTAGCAAGCGCATGTCGTTGTGAGCTCTACAGTAACTTCAAGTATCTGCAATGCTAAAGTCTTACTTCCTTCAGAGAAGACGCGATAATGGCTCTCCAGAGATTCCTGTCATCTGCGAGTTGTTGCTAGTCCATGGAAAATATATTTGATTATTTACTCATTGACATTTAAATGAGTACGTCTTCATCTACAAGGGTTGTAAATAACAGTGAGAAAGTTCGGTCTACCTTGCAATTTAAACAGTACTGGGAGAAGATTTTGACTCTTACCTTTACAAATTCATTAGTGAATCCAACACACTTGGCCAGGATTTGAACACCGTTGTTCGCGCCCCCTCTTGGCAGCGGTGACAAGAGTAAAGACATCATGTCTTTTTTTTTTTTTAAATGAGGATGTATTTTGCTTTTGAAGCCAAAATAATCGTTCACTTGCCATAATTTACAATTGCCTAAGGAGACGCATCGATATGTGTTGAAACACGAGTGCAATTGTGTAGCGATTCTTGCACGTTTATGTTGTAATATCCTAAAATAATATATATATATATATGTGTGTGTGTGTGTGTGTGTGTGTGTGTGTGTGTGTGTGTGTGTGTGTGTGTGTGAAAAGTGTGTGTATATAAATAAATATATATATATATATATTATATATAATTATTTATATATTATATGCGCAGTACTTATTAGAAAGCGCTCAATATCAGAGACTAACATATTTGGTTGGATTGATGTGAGTTTGTGACCCTGGGTTTCAGGCTTTTTGCGATCGTCAGACAAACTGATTAATCCTTTTTTTAATCAATTTGTCTGACGATCGCAAAAGCGTGAAACCCAAGGTCAAAAACTCACATCAATCAACAACATCAATATATATATATATATATATATATATATATATATATATATATATATATATCCATTATATTCACTTACGTGCTATTACCCTTTGGAAAGGTATAAATCCTTTTTTCTCCCTCCAGCTATGGATAAATAGCAGGACAGACACGGTTCTATATCCTTGGATGGCAACTGGTCTAGGAGAAAGACAACTCTGAATTCAAAACCTGCGGAGGGTCGTTTGGGGACCTTGTGGCACTTAGTGCACAAGATCTCTGTGTTCGGCCCTTCAAAAAGTGTGGATGGTCCTGTACGAAAACTTCACCACTATAATCGAATCTCATGTGCTGTTGTCGGGCTGTCGGTTTCCTGGGAACTGATCTGCTTGACCCTTATACGTCGGAAGAGTCGAGCGTTATATATATATATATATATATATATATATATATATATATATATATATATATATGGTCGAATGATTAGAATGTTCGATTTCCAAACATAAAAACCATCCGGTTCGAATCCCACCATAGTGTGCTTGAAAGTAAAATTAAGTGGAATTGTTCAGAAGCCAACGATGTATGTGCTATCACGAAGTCACAAGTCATCATGACCGAGAGTTCGTGTGTACTGCCATTGTTCAAACTGTTGATCATGTTGGATTATACGACGATGACCGTTACGTTAACCGCACACCTCGTAGAATGAATAAAATTTCCCGCAGAACTCAGGTGAACATGATTCTCCGTAGATTGTTTTCCATTTGTTATATGTGAATTACTATGCTTTATTTTGGAAAGATAGTGGTTTCTTGTTGATTTCGTTATGTTTGTAAATTCAGAGTGTGTCCCTTCTTTTAGGATGTTTGTCATTGAAGGCAAGTGAGCCTAGTCTGCGCTTCTATTTAAATTATAACTCGCCTCAGAAACAATAATTATTTCTTTTCTAGAGGGTATTTATGCAGTGAATAGTGATTCTAAATGCAAATTCCTTTGTACCATCGACATAATCCTTTCTTCACTCTTCACATTATATTGACGCAACATAATCTTACTTCTGATATTTTTTATACCGTACGAATGTTAGCTTTCACCAAAGTCATAATGTTAGCGTTGCCATCGACATGTTTTAATTAGTCTTCTTGTCTATGAGATATATAATTTTTATTAATACTGTATAGATTCAGTCGGCCAAGCTGTGGTGGCGTATTTGCAGACAATTTCAGCACAATTTCCAGAGACGGATATGCAATATAATTGGCCCTGTTCTGGCATCTCATCTCCAGACACTTTCTCACAGACACGCCGTCGCCTCTCTCTGTCTTTTTACAAATACTTTCATGGCAATTGCTCCGAGGAGCTGCATTCGCTGGTTCCCAGACTTCATGAGTTCAAGCGCCCGACGACGCTGGCATCCCGCTCTCCCCACTTCACTGTCGAAACTCCTAAATGTATCCGTCTCTTCTACTCTAATAGCTTCATGTCTCGCACCTCTCGCCTGTGGAACTCCCTTCCCTATTCTAGTTTCCCTGAGAGCTTTAATCTCCAGCTATTCAAATGTAATGTCAATCGACATCTCCAGTTGCCTCGATCTATCCACTTACCCTTCTCCTCATCTTTTCTTCTATCACTCCTATATTTTCTGTAACCCCTTGTGTCCTAGTGGCTTCCCGCCTTGCTTGGGGTGAAACGCTTAAAAAAACAAAAACAATACGCCCAGCCCTCCCAAGTTGAAACGACTCCAGGTATTTGTTATTTAGATCTCGGAAATTTTCAAATTCAAATAAACATACACGAACACTCTAAAATACATTGAGATATTGAAAAAAAGAATCTATTCAATTTGTATTTCGTTTCTGTTTATCGGTTATGTATCCTTATCTCCCCTATTTCATATACTGAGATGCTTCGTTATTATAATAACAAAAGAAGTGAAGGATTGAACATTCTTCACATTAATATATATATTTCATTAATTTAATACTTAATTAAAAAGGCGATATCAGGCTGCTGATATATCCCTTTTCATTTATTTTATGTTCAATTTCTGCGGATGGTTTATTTTCAATGATTTAAAAAGCAGAATTCTTTCTAAGGTATGACAACAGACTTAATTGTATAAAACAAATGCTAGATTATTCCCAGAGATATAACCAATGCAATTACAAAACTACTTAAATTTCATAGCCAATTTTTCACGATATGGACAAACAAGAAAAATACCAACTTCATAATGTTCTTAATTTAAAAACAAACTGATGATTAGAAATCAAAATTAATAAGCACCTTCTGCACTCCCTCCTAGCATTCACATTCAATGGCATATTTTTATAAAATTCCTAAAGCAATTTCCTCGACTTTTGCTTTCCTTACCAAACAGTCACGAGGCTATAAACGTTTTAATCTAACATTTCCGTCTGTCGGTAAATCCGAGTGAAAACTAAAACGCCAAGTCAATAAACGTATTTTTTTTTTTATGATTTCTTTTAGCTTTCTTTTGTTTTTGCTTAGAATTTGAGCGAAATCGGAAGGGAGAGAGAAAATAATTTTGTGCTGGTGAAAAAAAAAAAAAAAAAAGACTAAAAAATTTCTTTTCTTCAGTTAGGAACTTACGTCATTTTATTTATGTGTCTGTTTCGTTTGCCGAAAGAGTTTTGAAATCCGAGAATGGAACATCAGCATTTTGCGGCAAAT